TTTAAACATTTAAAAACATGGAGGATCAAATAACAAATAATTCCAATTAACAATTAATATTCTAATTATCTTTATTTGATTTATCTTGATTTCTTTGAAGATAATTACCAAAATAATTAATCATTATCATATAAGGAAATTAAATATTTTATTAGATGATAAATATCTTTAATTAGATCAAGATAACAATCATATTTATCAAAAAATCGGATTTAGATTGATCTAATATGATTAAGGTAAGTTTCCATAAGATAATTATGAAAAAATCCCGAATCTGGCCATTCCTGACGCTTGGACTCGCCGAGTGCACAAGGGGACTCGACGAGTCAGGCCTACTCGACGAGTCCACCTTGGAACTCGACGAGTCAGTGACTCAAAACCCAAAAATTCGAATTTTGCAGGTTTGTTTCAGTTAATCAAGCAACAATTTAAAGAAAACCAATCTAGGCTCTGATACCACTGATGGGTTTTAGCCATAAGAACTTTCCTATGTGCGCATGCAAAACCCTATTGCTTGGATCTAGGCTTTCTAATAAACATGCTTTTGAAACCAAGACTTCTAATGGCTAATTAGGTCAAATAACAAAATTGAAACAGATCTAGAATCATACCTTTGAATCCCTTGTTGATCTTGTTTGTCTTGGAGCTTCTAGAGTCACAATTGTCACTCCTCTAATGGCTTACAAACACCAATAGCAAGCAAGATGATTTAGGAGAGAGGAGAGGGGAGGAATTCGGCCAGAGTATCCTTGCTTAAGGTTGTGTGTCGAATTCCCTCACCCCCTAGGGTCTATTTATACTTGTAGACTCCTTAAGGGTTTCACCTTAAACCCTAATTGGATAATCTTCTCTTAAGGCTATCCAAATCCATTCCATAGATAACCCTATGGACGATTTTGAGCTATCCTAAAGCTCTTAGAATCCGTCCAAGGTCAAACCCTAATGGATTTACAGTCTAAAGTCTAACTATCAAACAATTGACAGTTTATACCCTCTTATTCAATTAATCTCTTTAAGTCACCAAATTAATACCAATTAATTTATGACTTATATTAATCAAATAGCTAAATATTATTCCTTATAATATTTACTCTCTCTTAATAAATCATCCTTCAAGTTGCTATGGTGAAGGCAACCCAAAAGGACCATGCACAACCGAATATAGTTACAGCCTTAGACACTATTCCAACAGACCCAAGGTTAACAGAAGAAGAGATGCATCAGAGAAGCTACCAAGGCACATTGTGTCTAAGGCAAGAAAAAAAATATCATGCAGTGTTTGTAAAAATGTGGGGCATAACAAGGTCACATGTCCTCAAGCTGAAAGACCTCAAGTGCAAAAACCTAAAGTTGGCAGGAGGCCCAAACTAAATGTTAAAAAAAGGAAAACAGGTGTCAATGGAAAAGGTGAAGCAGCAAGAGGGGTCAATGAAAAAGGTGAAGGAGCAGGAGGTGTCAATGGAAAAGAGAAAGGTGAAGGAGCAGGAGGTGTCAATGAAGGGCAAAATGGTCAAGGAGCAAAATCAGTGCACGAAGGGCAAAAGGGTCAAGGAGCAACAATTGTTGCTGCTGGAAGGATATCTAAAAGAAAGAAATCAGAGAGAATCATAAAGATGAAACTTGCTAAGAGGTGAAGGGCAAAGATAGGAAAGGAGAAACAAGTGCAAACCCATTAGAGCTTAATGATTAGGATCTTATTTTGTTTTAGTTGTTATCTTTTAACTTGGGTGTGTTTGGTTGGATTTAAGTGTTAAGTTTGGTATTGGGATGTAGTAGGTTATTAAGTTTGGAATTAGACAAGTTGTTATGTTTTAAATTTGTTGTGTTTGGTTGGATTTAAGTGTTAACTTTGTTTAATTTGATTGTTCATATTTCGTACATACAAAACACATCAAACCCCAAATATAACCACTTCAATTAAATAAAGTACATTACAGATTACATAACAACTTAAAGGAAATAAAGTACATTACAAGTTTCGAAAGACATCAAAGTGCATTACAAGATGCATAACAAGACAACTGGTCCGACTGACCTTCATTACAACTTGTACATGATTAAACAAAAAAAAAAACCCAACTACATACTAGGTAAACCTACAACTTAAAGACCTCAGCCTGAAGCTTTTTGTTGGACTTATACAACCCATTTATGATCAAACCTTCACTGTTGCACTCCATTTCATCAACCCAAGCTATAAAACCTGAACGAGCATCCTGATTCCAAGTATTTGCTTCAATTAACACATCTTAAAAAAGTAGGGTTAACACCAAAATTTGAATAACTGGTAAATTACCTTTTTCGGGCATGCATAAAAGGGCCTTCCCATGTTATTGGTAGTACGATATGTTCTTATTATAGCCTCAGCTCCACATCCACATTGCATGTTCTTCATTATGTACCTTCACAGTGAAGAGTATTTGAAGAAGAAAACAATGTGCTAGAATGAATGCAAGAAGGTATGTATGAAGGAGCAGTGCATAAAAAAGACTATATTACCCCCACTGTGTAAAAGACTATATTACCCCCACTATTGCACTTTCAACGAATCCGTTTATCAAACTTAAGAACTAATTCAGATAAAAAACAATCGGCAAAGAACATCAGACATCTTCAGATCACAAACAATCGGCAAAGAACATCAGACATCTTTACAAAACACCTATCATTTTGATAGGTCTTTCATTAATCATTCGATTTCACTTACAAAATGCCTATCATTACGATAGGACTTTTACATATTTCGCCAAAATAAACAGAAATAAAAGAAAAAAATTAAGACACACAAATACTACATACTAATAACCTTCTTAACCATTAACCACCTTAGTTGCAGATCAACCCATCACCAAAGCTTAACAAGGAAATAGAGCACAACAACCAGCAACAAGAGCATCCCCAACATCATGCCACCCAAAGCAACACCAACGACTTTAAACTTTTGATCATGGTCATCCAGCTTGTGCTGGAGACTGATGTGGTCGATCCTACAAACGATATACTCTTGTCCTAGCTGCTCCTTCAACCTTTTCATTTCAGTTTGGTTTTCTGTAATCTTCGGACCACAATCACAGAAGATTGAGTGGAGCACATTGTAGTTGATGTCTTCACCAGAATTTATAGTTGGGTGAAGGTAGTGGAGCCGACATTGTTGCTTTTTAAGGGTTCTTCCACAAGATTGTTTGCCCGAAAATGGTAAACAAGTTTCAGATTTGTTTTACTTCAAACCCCGCATGCGTATGTCTCCTTATAATTCGAGACTTGTGCCTGGGACTCAATTGAATCGACAGTGAAAGGTTGTTGGGGTGTTGGTGGACATTAAAGACGATAATTACTAATCTGCATGTGCCAGCTTATGTGTCATCGAGTCAACTCGGTATTGACTTAGTGAGTTACCTCATATGTATACATGGCAAGTGACGAGGCAAGTTTACCTGCTAAAATGGGTAAGATGACTTTCTCAATCGGTCATCAACAAGTTTAAGCCCTTAAAACGCAAAAAGTAGTCACGAGGGACCATTTAAACCATTATACGTAACGTAGTTGGGCTAGAGTGACAATAACCCTTTTACTTATTTTTCCATTCAAAATACAAATAACCCTTTTACTTATTTTTCCATTCGAAATATAGGTTTGTCTTGAATTTCATTTTACTTATTTTTCCATTCAAAATGAAGGTTTGTAAAGGTCTCATGGACAATAGTGGCTTAACATGATTAGGAAAACCATGGATGAAGGTTGTGTGTTGGTTCTTTTGGCATGCTCGTTGGAGTTAGGAATGACAATGGGGCGGGTTCAGGACGGGTCATGGTTTCCTAAATCCGCCCTAATATCTTTCGGGTATCTTATCGGGGCGCCCCATCGGGTTCGGGTTTTCCCGTCAGGTTTCGAGTATCTTATCGGGTTTAAAATAATTCATAATGAAATCCTTATTCCATTTAAGGGTACCTCAATGTCTTTAAAAAAAATACATGTTATACCCTCCCTTTTAAATTAAAAATATGATGAGTCACTTTAATAAAATTAACTCGACGTTATACTAAAACTTATTTGATTTAAGTTTAGTGTAATACGTCAAAACATAAAAAAGACCATTCACACCGAATTGTTAATAACTAAAAAGATTGTCCACAATAAGTATTTTATCTTTGAATACTTGCAATTAATATATATATATATATATATATATATAATATATATATATATATATATATATATATATAATCGGGACGGATCGGATCGGGGCGAGGATAACCCACTCTCTGCCTCGAACCCGATAACGACCCGTTACTCGATCCGAAATAATCGGGTTTCAGGTTTCCCCGTCGGGTTCGGGTTTTTTTGCCATCCCTAATTTGAGTACGTTGATTAAAATTTGTCATTTTCCTTTTTTTTTTTTTTTTTTTTTTGGCTCTTTGTAAATGATAGAGCATCCAAAAAGCTCATCAAGCTTCTATAATAATTGACGGGCTCCAACCCCGTAAAACGGGGATCTTTACTAGTTTTAAATTAATTATATTTTTTGAATATGAGAAAACATAAATAATCTATTTAATTATATTCTTTGAATATGAGAAAACATAAATAATCTATTTATTACATCATTAGAAGAGAACTCATTAACTTTGGTTACAATTAATTATATTTTAATATAACGTGGTAATAAACAAAACGAAAAATCGTTATTGACAGATTTAGTGTACTTATTGAAATATAAAATGAGAGGCAAATGTATTTTTATAATAATACTTGATTATTAAAATAAATCTGTAATATTAGGGACCAAAGTCGAAACGAAATACATAAAATCAATTTAACTAATACCCAGAAATTAAGAGAAATTTCAGACCCACGTTTGTGTTCTTGTAAAAATACGATAAATAGCACTAAATACACATCACCTGTTAACTAAACATATCATTTATCCCAGAATAAAACTGTAAAAAAATTGTTATAATAAAATAAAATCGTAAATATCAAATCACACCTTGTTCTTCACCTCAAATCCTCCATTTCCAGATCTTGATTCGAAGATCCACCTTACATTTCACATCGGAAGTTGTCGCCGTCGTTGCTAACTTACCGGTGGGTGCTGTCACCTTAATCCCTTTACAAACCACCCTGATTGGTACTTTTTTAGTGTTAAAGCTTCCGATCTTCACCTTCACCTTCGTATCAAGCTGGATAGTTAATGGCAAACTCTTCTTGTTCTTCAGATCCGATTTCAGATCGCTACTATCATCCACACTCTGTCCACTCGTCGACACAATCGTCCTCAACTTCGTCGTATTCTTCTTAGGCATCATGAACGCCGGTATCGATCCGTCACCGACATCGACTCCTTTCGAATCAATCGAAACGGAGACCAGATCGTAGTAGAACGCGATCTTCTTGTTAGGATTACGAGCAGTGACGGTAAAATTGAATTTAGTGTTGAGTTGATTCGATGAGGTTAGGTTAAATTGAGAGACCTGGAGCGATGAAACAGCGAAGGAAGGGCGGTGGGGGCGGTAGAGGACGTAAAACACACCGCCGGCTATGGCGGCGATGAAGATCAGAAGGAGGATAACGAAAGTAATCCAGAGGCAACAAGAGCAACAACAACTACGGCGGTTGCGGCGGGGTAGAGGACGGTAGACTGGGCGAGTTGAGTTGTAGAGTTGAGCTTTGTTGGCCGGAAACGATGGGTTACCATTACCATTACCATTACCATTGGCGGCGGTGCTGGTGGGGGCGTGACCATTTACTGTTGTTGGTCTGGAAGAAGGATGGATTTTTTCTGCCATTGGATGGAATTGGGCCTAACAATCGCTCTCTGGAGTCGATTTGTAGAAATTATTGGAAGAAATTTTCTTGAAAGCTACGTGTTAGTCGTTGTTGATGATGGAGTAGAGAAGGAGACAGAAAAGGATAGCAACCCTGTAACCAACGCATACGAATCAGAGTGGGGGAGATGATGAAATACTCCAAACCCAAAAAGTCGTCGACACAGTTTGTTTTTTGGTTTATTTTCTATTCTATTTAATAAGTGACAAAAGTAGATATAATAAGACTAAGATTAAATATTAAAAAAACTATGATGATGTCATCCAGGTATAAATCTTTAAAATATATCATTAAAAAAAATTCCTTAACCTCAAATAGGTAAAAGTTTGTATAATCAGAAATGTAAGCTGTGTCAAAGTATAAACTTGGCTTATTGTCATTCTAACCCAACAAAATTCCGTATAATAGTTTAAATGGTTACTCGTGACTATTTTTTGCATTTTAAGAGCATAAAGTTGTTATTTGTTGGTTTAAAAGGGTAATCTTGAAAAAATGAAGGGGTCAACCGGTGACCCCATTCTACATGACATTCCACGTCATATGCAATAAAACCATTACATTGTCACGTGTGCACAGTAGTTAATGAGAGATATTGTACGTTTAAACCCCTCAACTGTCCCCTTCTTTCACGTTCGTCTATAACTTCCGCATCGGGCTTTGTTGTTGATTTGTTCTTCGGTACTATCCTTTTCTTCAAGTGCTAGTCACTCAAATCGGGGAACTTTGTTGTTGCTATGGCCGTTTTCATGAAGATTGATCTACGTTTTACTGGAATTTTTACCAGGTATCCCTCTATTACTTACACAAATGGAGCAGAGCAACGATTTGATGATGTTGATTTTGCTGGAATGGACAAGAAGGAATTTGTCGAGTTCCTTGAAAGATTCGCATGTGAGATATGTGTGAATGTGTACTTTTGCATGCCCAATATTGTTTTTCCTGATGGTTTAAGGTTAATCGCGAATGACATGGATTACATGGAACTAATCGAAGTAGGGTATGCTTCTGATTATGTAATCGATGTATATATGGACCATCTTGGTGTTAATGTACATCAACGGATTCTTGAAGAGCAAGCAGAAGTTGGCAGTTCTTTGGACCAATTATCTGGTGCAAATGAAGATCGTGAAGAAGTTCACAGTCGTATGAATATGGATGATGGTATCGACATGCAAGATTTACATGGTGGTATGGATGATATCCCACGTTCAAACGAGGATTTGCAAGGAGAGCAAGATGATGACATTCATATAGAAGGGGACAATGATCATGATGAGTGCATTCCTATGAACAAGACAAAGGAGGATGAGTTTCTGAGTAGGTTGTGCCCAAAGGAGCAAGTCACCCCAGACAGTCCACCTCGTGAAGATACATATGATCCACCAGATGAAGTTGAGGTAATTTCTACTGACCAGGCTATTTACAATGAGAATGTTCATTGGAAAAAGCAAAAACCTATATTAGGTATGAGATTTGTGAGTCCTAAATAACTTAAACATATGATGTGTAACTATGCTGTAGCAAATGTTTAGTAGTTCTGTTACAAAAAAAATGATAGTAGGAGGTTAGTGAAATGTTGTTCTGCACAGTGCAAGTTTAGGATGTGGGCTTCTTGGATGAATGAGGAAAAGTCTTTCTAGATAAAGAGTCTTATAAATGAGCATAATTGTGCAAGAAACTTCAAGTTAGGTTCAATTGTCAATTATTCATGGATAGGTACCCATTACACAACACAATTCTTATAGAAACAAAAGGTTAGTGTGAGGCTACTTAGGGATGAGGTTAAAGAGAAATTTGGTATAGATGTGAGTATGTGACAGTGTAGAAGAGCAAATAAGTATGCAATTGAACTGATTGAAGGAACATTAGTGGAGCATCATGCAAAGTTGTGGTCATATGGTGAGGAGATTAGAAGATCAAATCCAGGATCAACAGTTAAAATTGATGTCAATTCTATGCCAGATGGTAAGAATTATTTTAGCAAACTTTATTTGTGTTTTGATGGGCTTAAGCAAGGGTGGAGAGGGAGTTGTAGAAGGGTTATAAATTTAGATGGATGTTTCTTAAAGAGCTTATGTAGTGGTGAGCTCATATCTGTTGTAGGAGGAGATGCCAATAATCACATATTTCCAATTGCATGGGTAGTTGTCTGTGTAGTGAACAAAGAAAACTGGAAATGGTTTCTGGAAAACCTTAGAGATGACTTGCAACTGAATGATGGTTTTGGTATAACATGTGACAACCCGATATTTCAACTCTTTGTAATGGCCTAATAGGTCAAGTATTGTAACCATTTTTGAGTTAATCAAAATAAACGTTGGTAATAAAATGTCCAAAAAGTTTCTATTTAACTACTTACTATGTTTTATATCATTAAACCTAGATCGTACGTAAAAGAGAATGCCCAAACCCGACTTCGTATATTGAAGTTAAGATTTTTCCAAATTCGGCTTAGCAATAGTCAACTGAAAACTCGAATCAGAGATCGAGCGACTTTTGGCCGGAATGACCTAAACGAGAATCGAAGGTCTCGACAATGGTTGTTCAGCGGTAAAAAGTCTTGCAAAAACCGACGTCAAATAAAGAAGTTATGAATTTTCAAAGAAATTCCTTAATCACGTCATTTTAATAAATAAATAATAAAAATACATTCTGAATTTGCCGACAGAATCTAAACGAAAGTTGTAGATTGTAGTCTCACCTTCGCGGGGATATAAAAAACGTCGAAAATGGAGTTTTTATGAAGGAGATATGAATTTTTGAAGTTTGATAAATAATTTATATATAATTTTTATTAAAAACTTCGGTATTATCCGAAGTCTGAGTCACGCAAGTACGCCCCACGTACACGAGTACGCCCAGCGTACTCGAGGCCACGGCCTCGGATCGTCCACGTCACCCCTATGCGAGCCTACCCCCGTCCCATCCGAAGTGCGAGACAATCGATGACTTGGTCATGCGTGACGTACGCGTACGCCCCAAGTACGAGCGTACGCCCCGCGTACGGAGGCAGTTCCAGCCTCCTATAAATAGGATGCGAGGGTTCCCGGAAAATTTGCTCATTCTCTCTCACTTTTCTTACGTTTTACCTCGTTTTTCGTGCCCGCACTACCCCGAAGCCTTGGTCATTTTGTGTAAGTCCCGAAGGTCGATTTTACTCCCGAGATTCCCGAGAATCCCGAGAAAAATCCATTTCCCGAGATGAAACTCTGCCCGGTTTTCCATCTCGCTATCTTCAAACTTTCAAGTGAGTTCATACCCCTTAATTAACCCTTTTAAATATTCTAAACGCTTTTATATGCTTTCTAGGGGGGGGGGGAATACAAGTAAAACACACGACTACTATCGGGTGTTATATATAAAGATTATTATACACTTTTATTAAGTGGAATCATGTGTGATTTACAAACTTTATAGGGAACTCCCGTATACAAAAATATATTACAATAGCATTCTATCTTTAAAAACTATAAATGGCTGTAATGCATGTATAAACTAAACATTTTCTTAGATTTAAAGTATGTTGTGTCTATCTTAGACGTTACAAAAATCTATGCTTTCATAACAAGTGAGTCTTTTCTAGATATTCTAAAAACAAACGAGGCATACTTTTAGAAAACTATAAAAGGTATAGTTTTATGAAAATATTGCTAACTTTTACATACTAGAAACACGATTTTCGAGAAATCATTTTCATATACAATAACAAACGAATATTTCAACACGTAAATCTGTTTTTATACTACGGTTCTGTGAGACATTTACTTCACGTACGTTCGAGTACACATTTCAAGTCCTGTATTATATATCAGAATCCCTTGGAGGGGGAGCATGGTGTTTGTGTATAGATCTATACGGGCTTGACAACCCGCACCCTGACTGTTAGCTACAGTCCACCGTTTGGGGTGACAAACGTCATAACATTCCAACGCCTGAAGAACGTTGTGTATAGGCAATCTGAGTCAATAGTATGGTTATAAAGCTCACAGGAGGTATTAAAAATACATTGATTTACGAGGTTTTCAAACATATTGGTTACTTTTACACTTACAAACATTTTGGAAACAAACTTTGGTCTGAAAGGAAGACTACTTTTATACTGGTAGAAAGTACAGGATTTTCTAAACACAAACAAACAAGGACAAGATATTTCGTTTCATACAAACATTGTCATTAAATACTTATGAAACTCACCAGCTTAAATGCTGATCTACTGTTTCAAAATTACTTGTATGTCGCAGGGATTTAGTAACTACATGTATCATTATGCTTTTGATGAAGAGATGCTGCGGCGCCAGTTTAATCTCATATTTTGACATCATATTTGTAATTGATTTTGAACATGTAACGTTTGACAAATGTAAACTTTCAATTATATATATATATATATATATATATATATATATATATATATATATATAGGATGGTTGTATTGCTTTCTTTACTATGTATTCACTTGTTACGCTACCACATGAAGTCATCCGCCCCCGAACGTTTCCGCCGTTCAGGTTTGGGGGTGTGACATAACATTAATGTCAGATCAGCATAAGGTTAGTAGTTTTACTTCCTATTTTAATGAATTCTAGTTTCATACCCTTTATATAATTTGTTACCATTGTTGCACAAGGGCTGTTAGAGGCTGTGAAGGAAATAATGCCTATTGTTGAACATAGGCAATGTGCAAGGCATATTGTTGCCAACTTTAGGAAAAGATTTAGTGGTGTGCATTATGAAAACATGTTTTGGAAGGCAAGCAAGGTATCCACCGAGCCTTTATTCAATGCTACCATGAAGGAGATTGAAGTGCTTAACCCTGCATCCTTTGCTTATCTTATGGACACCAACCCCAAATCTTAGAGTAGAGCGTTTTTTCAAGATAGAAAGATGTGTGATGCAGTGGAGAATGGGTTATCTGAGAGCTTCAACAGTGTGATAAGAGATGCTAGGAAAAAGCCAATCA